CTGATTCCCCAAAGGTCTGGCTATCCAAGGAACTAGAACGAGTCCTTATAGCAGCAGGGCAGTAGTAAAAACAAAGAGGGAGGGAATGATAAGACAGCTAGGCACAGGGAGAGGGTTGGCATTGTCTCATCTAACCCAAACAAGGGGCAAACACCCAATGCTGCTTTGCTGGTTAGCAAGAGATGAATTTTTTCCTACTACTTTCAGACAAAAGTGATTGAGAATAGAAGGCTCAACATAATAAAGAAAAACACTTAAGATTTCTTTCAATATGGGGATGCTTTTTGTAGTCATGATTTCAGCTGAGACATAAAATGAGAGAAAACACCACCTGCATATACAAACTCTGTTTCTCTATAATACCTAATATTTCTTGTTAATAAACATGATTTTAAGCTGTTTTTCTAAATCATACGTGGTATAACCTTATCTTTTAAGCCTCTGTTACATTTCACTGAAAATATAACACTCTCCAAGAATAAGGTGGCAATCCATTTATAAAATACACTGAACACCCCAGGGGATAACAAAAGGTGATTTTATCACACAGGAAATAAAATTAGTCTATTCTGACCCATATGCCCATCAACAAAGTTAAATCACTTCTCACTTATTACTATATTCTTAGCTTTTTAAATAAACAATTTACAGGTCATAAAAATTTCAACTCTTTTTATAAAAATATCCGAACATTTAACAACTCTCTCAAGGCAGAGATTTTATTTGAGGCATTCCCTCAGTTTCACCTCCTGTGAGGGAGGATTTCCTTTGAGACAAGTAAATGTAACATTATCCAGTGGATCCTTGTGCTGTCTCTTTAAAGACCAGGCAGGCAGAGGGCAAATTTTTAAGGTATCATTCTGTCATCTCAAACTCTCAATAACATTCCTGTAGGCTCCCCTCCCTCTTTCCAAACTAAGTAATCCCTGTGTTTATCAACTTCAAAAAACACAAATGACTTGTATAAAGTTCTATGCATACTCCTTGGTTTTCAGCGACCTTTTGGATCAAAATTAAAGCAGGTATCTGCATGAACAACTCCACTTCTTTCATAATCTCTACCTTTCCTAATATTTGTTTAAAATTCTGCCTGGCGGGGCTTCCCTGCTGGCGCAGTGGTTGAGAGTCTGCCTGCTAATGCAGGGGACATGGGTTCGAGCCCTGGTCTGGGAGGATCCCACATGCTGCGGAGCAACTGGGCCCATGAGCCACAACTACTGAGCCTGCACGTCTGGAGCCTGTGCTCCGCAACAAGAGAGGCCGTGATAGTGAGAGGCCCGCGCACCGCGATTAGAAGTGGCCTCCGCTTGCCACAACTAGAGAAAGCCCTCGCACAGAAACGAAGACCCAACACAGCAAAAATAAATAAACTAATAAACTCCTACCCCCAATATCTTAAAAAAAAAAATTCTGCCTGGCATCCTTCATTTTGGATGAACAGGGGTCTACAACTAAATATACTTTCACTCTCACTTTGCTTTTATTTATTTATTTTAAAAATAAATGTATTTATTTTTTATTTTTGGCTATGTTGGGTGTTCGTTGCTGCGCACGGGCTTTCTCTACTTACAGCAAGTGGGGGCTACTCTTCATTGTGGTGCAAGGGCTTCTCATTGCGGTGGCTTCACAGGCTCTAGGCACACGGGCTCAGTAGTTGTGGCTCACAGGCTCTAGAGTGCAGGCTCAGTAGCTGTGGCACACAGGCTTAGTTGCTCCATGGCATGTGGGATCTTACCGGACCAGGGCTCAAACCCGTGTCCCCTGCATTGGGAGGCGGATTCTTAACCACTGCGCCACCAGGGAAGTCCCTCACTTTGCTTTTAGAAGGGCATGAAACTGCAACACAGCAATAATTTTACATAGGTATCCAAAACTAAACAAGATTTTAAAAATTACATATCTTCTATTATTTCTAATCCCACACTAAAATTCATGTTTTACGAAGTTAGGCTCCTAGTTGAATCAAGATGCGATAGTCTTTCTTAAAATGGATCAGTTCTCGATTGTATGAGAAGACATGGAGTCTGTAAAATGCAGGAATACTCTGCAGCTTCCTAACATCCTGGTTATACTTACTCCCCTTACACATATTTCAGAAATCAGTCTCTCTGACACCCACATTCATTACTGCTGAAAAGGCAGAAAACACTCTGTTCATTTAGCATTTTTATTTCCCTTCATCTTAAGGGCTTCCAAAAGGAACTGGTATAATGCTGGACAAGGGGATAAGCTCATGGTCCAGGAGACGACAGACTCAAGAAGAACCAAGGGGAATGGAACACCAGACAGCCTGGCTTCACCACACACATTAGCATCTCGAACAACCACATGTTTTAAAAAGATGAGCCCTACCACTGTTTAAACTTAGACTCCTTGTGTCCTTTCCACACTAGATGCCTTTAAGGGTAAAGAGCAGATCTTAGGCAATTTGTGAGCTCTGTGTTCTCATCAGTTGATCTGTAATTAGAACCTGCATCAGCTTGGAAAGGTATGTAGCAGCTAAAGGGATTAGTAACCCCTCAGGTGCAAACAAATACCTTCAGGCACACTAGGTCCAAACCAGTGCAGTTTTATAAAATGCATTCTTAATGTAGCTCCCGAGGACACACACTGTAGAAAAGGGGGAGCAGGCGAAACAGCTTTGAGTTCACTTTTAGCCTGTAGTTCAAGAAAACTACACCATGCGTAACAAAAGCAAACCAGCAATCTCGCCCACTCTACCCACCGCCATATACATACACAGACACAAAGAGAAGTGGATTGCAATGCTCCTCCTAGGCTCTCATTTCCACAGAGTTCTTATATAAAGAGCAATGAGAAAGACAGAATATCCTGAAGCCTTGAGGTATGGTATAGTTGGCAATAAAGGGGTTAAGCAGCTCTACTTTCCTGGAAACTTTCCAATTCCTAGCCAGGAATGCAATTCTCCTCACTACCTGTGTGTGCTACATATTTTTTTAAAATTCAGCAGATTAAGAGTTAAGACCAACACCTCAGAAAGAAAAAGAGAACTTGGTTCAGCTGTACCCTCTCTAAAGCAAATACCAACGACTCTGAGCCTAATCCACTCAGCATACACAAGACTCCACGGACATGCCAAAAAACAGGTGAAAAGAAGTTGAATTTCCTCAGGTATCTCACCTTTCAGCCCCACACACTTAGTAGAATTTACAAATCTGTGAAACACGTAAGTGTTAGATAAAACAAAAGCACATGTAAAATTCCATTTAGAACCTGAAAAACATTTACAAGTCACAGAGGTCACTATAAATCAGCAAAAACAGCTGGAATTTGGGTGAGGAAGGTCAAAGGGTAACCATGGAAACAAAAGCAAAACAAAATGATACATAAATAGAAGAAATATGGGCCTTAAAACTTAAGGCTTAGAAGGAAAGCTCCCTAACTAGAAGTTCATGCTTATCCTAAAGAAACACAGGGAAATATTGCTTTGGTCACCATAGGGGGAAAACTGTCACTACTATTAAACCTACATTTCTGGGGGAAAAAGATGTTCACCAGATAAAAACACAGGCAGTGACTGCCAGCCTACAGTCACAGGAAAGGACATCCAGAAGCACCTGTCTTGCTAGAAATAGGTAGGAAGAGATGAGTCACTATTTTAATTCTGTTTAGTGCTCTCCACATTCCAACCCTCTAGGTCCCAAAGCAACATTATCCTTTTTCATCACTTTCTCAGTTTTCTTCCCAGACTTGTGGAGTTGGGTCCGAACGCTAAGGGGTGGGGATAAGAGAAAAGAGAAAGAAAGAGGAAAAAGTTAGAAACCTTTTGGTTAGCAGAAAAAGATACTGGGGTGGCAGAGTAATTACGTGCGAGAGAAGACTACATTACAGTTACGACTAGCAAACGGTTATTAAGATCCAAAACTCCCTCTCTTGGACAGCGCCCCCTATCTTTCAAAGCTTCTACAGTAAAAAGCAAACAACTCCCTGGAGAGAGGAGTAAAAAAGAAGATGCAGTGTGTGCAAAGGTAATGAGATACCACAGTGTTACACGAATATCAATATTCTTTCAGACTGGAATTGGCACCTGATGAAAGTCAGACTCTTCTACAGGTTGGAAAAGGGTTGTCAGTAGCCTTGGGGCACAGGATGTGGCAGAAGAGCTGAAGAGATAGTTATCATGGGAAACGTACAAAAGGCAATTCCCTTAGGTACTCACAAACTTCTTGGCCTTTTAGTCTAACTTCCTCCCCGTGGGGGAGGGTGATCACCGTCCTAAGAAGGGCATATTCATGAGAGAAGTTCGAACCCCTTGCTAAGTGATAAGCAACAGGGCAAAGGGACAGGTTCTCTGGATAAAGAAATACTGGGAAGCCAACTACCGTCATGCCCAATGACCAGAGTAACTGGGCAGGTACCCATTCCTGCAGCCGCAAGGACAAACGTCCAAGGGAGGAGGGAAGGCAGGGCCAAAGTCAGGTAACATTCCTGGGGGGAAGGATTATCAGGTGACACTGGGCTGAGGGCCCAGAGAGGAGACTGGGCGGGAGGAAAGTTAGCAGGTGAAAGAGATCAATCTTGGGCAAGGAAGTGACCTTTGGAGAAGCAAACAGGAGGATACCAAAAACAGGGGGAAGGGTAATAAGAGAAAATGGACCCCGAAAAGCACACAGGATCGAGATAGAAAAGGCGTGTTCGGGTAACGGAGAAAGAAGAAAGGAAGTGGGGCTGAGAGGGAAGAGATGGGGCCGAGACCGGCCAGGGCTACGGGGGCTAAGAGCAGAGCGTGCGAGCTGGGGGATGAGGAAGCCCCGAGGTTGCCGGGGCAAGAGCCAGTTGGGACTCCGGGGCTCCGGGAGGTCCCGGAGCAGTCGGAGGTTGGGCTTTGGAGCCCAGGACCGAGCAAAATGAGGAAGGGAGGCGCGGGGTCGGCTCCCCAGAGACTGGCGTGCACCCCTGGGGCCGGCTGCGGAGGTCTCCGGGGTCCGGAGGGCGGTTACGGGGCCAGGCTGAGGGAACCGGGTGGGAGGGACACTCACAAATTTCTTGGATTTGCCGCCGTCGCCGCCCGCCGAAGGCAGCTCGTCCGGGCTCCGGCCCTTCTTCTTGTCCCGGGTCCCGCGACCGGGCCCCGGGCCCCCGCCGGGCGGCTCCATGTCCAGGTTCGCGCTGCTAGTGACCCCGCGTCTACGCCGCTCCCGCCCGGCAGCTCCAAGCCCGCCGCCGCCGCCGCCCAGCAGCTCTTCAGCCAGCCGCCGCGCCCCGCCTCATTAGCATGCCGGGCTGCGCGCGCCTCATGAATATACAACCGCGACGCCTCGCTCCCGCCCGCCTGCCCCACTTCCGCCCGGACACGCAGCCCCTACCAACGGGGTAAGGGAGGGGGGGTGGAGGAAAGCCGCGGAAGCGCACTACCTGCCTGGCGGGCCTAACCATTCGGACCCACGTTGGGGGGGTGATGGTGAGTGGGCGGTGCAACTCTCCCAGGCAGCGCCACCTGGCGGCTGGAGCGGCGCAGGCCTCCCTGCTCCCACGCAGTGCCCACGTGGCTGTAAAGCCTGGACCCTCTCACACTCCAGACCAGGATATTATTATCTGAACCAAAAATCGCATAAGAGAGACTGTTATCTTTGCAGAAAATTTAGTGCCGGGCTTTCCAGGATAATATAGTTTTTATGTGTTCAATACCCATGGAGCACATGAAAAAATAAAGTGATAGCTACCATTTATTGAAAGCTATGTACCAAGAACAGAGCTTGGTCCAGGGCCAGTGCTAGACTGAAGTCGACTAGCTCTGGAGTTAGATTACCTAGTTCTAAATCCAAGGTCTACTACTTTCCATGTTTCTAATCTGGAAAAACTAGTTATTGCTACAGTGTGCCTGAAGCTTAATAATAGCTAACCATTTACCATACACTTGTTCTATGCCAGACTCCATGCAAAAACACTCTACACCTATTTTCTCACTGAATCCTCACAATGCCATGTGATAGATTCCACTAGTCTCACCATTTTAAAGATAGGAAATTTGGACATCGACAATTGAAGTGACTTGCCCAGGGACACATAATGAAGTGACAAAAAACTTAAAACCAGGTTGGTCTGACGGCCAAGCCCTATATTTAACCAGGATTCCCTACTGACATAAACCAAACCTGAGTGAAAAAAACAGGCATTCTCCAAAAGTATGTTCTTTGCTCTACTAGCTTGATTCCTCCCTCAGTGATTTCATCTATTCTCAAGAATAGCTACATCTGTCCCTTGTGTGAAAAGCCTGTGGTACCCAGTAAGTCCTCAAAGTCTGGACTTATCTTTCCCACGACTGGCAAAAGATTTCAACTGCATGTTCCTGGAGGGCAGTCAGTGACTCATTCATTAGGGAGCCCAGTGCTCAGTCTAGGGTCTGTTATTTTACAAAGACTCTGCCAAGCTGGCTGGCTCCTAAATCTGACCTTCATCTCTTACCTTCCACTTTCTAATTGCCTGATGGACAGTTGCACAGAGTTGTCCAGCCCACACTTCGAAATCAATTTGTCCCAAACAGTTCAAAAGCTACTTACTTTCTATGCTAGTGTTGAGAAACGACAGGATCAGAGCATGGAAGGAGTGATCCAGGTATTACTCTTCTTTCTTGTACCACTGTCTACATCTACTATAGCATTTATCTTACTCCCTACTGGGGAAGAGTCCATGTTTGTGGCTACTACAATATCTAGCATCATTCTTCACATAGACAATGAAGATAAGGAGCAACTGCTTATGTCAGTCACCATTTTATCTCAGTGTATCCTCACCAACTAGCATCACCAATCCCAACACCCAGGTTCAAAAACCTGAAGTCATCTTCTACTCCCTCTCTTAAGCTAGTAATCTGCTCAGGTTTGTCTAACTCTTAACTAATACGCTCTCTTAACTCCCTATATATGAGTAAGACAATCCATGTAGAATACATATATACAGGTCCTAATGTAAGGTGAGTGCTGAATGAATGTTAACTATGATTTTTATTATATACATCATCACCCCATTTCCTCTCTCTTCATACACAGGCAGCTAGCAAGAATTAAGAATATTCCCAGAAAGGCAAAAGGTACAAAAAATACCAACTTGGTTTATTGAATAAAAAGGGTGGTAAAATGGACATAAAGCCAGAAGTTAGAACAGGACATTTTCACACCCTCCCCGATCTCAAAACTGCACTTCCCATCATCTGGGTTAAGGTGTTAGGGAGCCAGAGCCCCCTAAAATCCCTTACTCTTCACCTGCACTGGAAACAAGGCCTGCATTAGGAGAACCCAGGAGGAAGTCAAAGGCAACCTTACTCCTGTCTACCCCCTCACCCCTAAAGCCTCTGGGTTACAGGGAAGTAGGGAAGGAATAAGTGAGCCAGAAGGGCTGGGACTGGCCTCTAGGGCTCACCGCCCAAGATGTCCTAGAGATGGCTATCCTTGTCCCCATCCAATCCCTAATAGGTACCATTCTCAGACCTTGGGAGGGAGAAGAGAGGGGATAGTTGGTTCCAGACCAAGATGTGGTCTCCAAACCCTCCCCCAGCGTTGGTAAAAGCCCTGAGAGTAACCTGACCAGGGGTGGAAGAGCCACACCTTTTCCCTCCCACCCAACCAAGAGGTAAAAAGGAATATCTGGGGACACAGCAAGCCCAGCCACTCTTAAATCTCCACGTCGCTTTCCTTGTCATTGTCATGGTCTCCATCATAGAATTCATTGGGTGCCTCTGGCCTACAAAGTAAGGAAAGAGAGAAAGAGAGGTCAGGTTCCCACTCTCCAAGTTCCAATCTTCTCCCACATAGGTACCCTCTCTGGAGCCATTTCTCAGGCCCCCATTGTCAGGGAACCACTCCTCTCCTTCTGCTGGTAGAGACTGACTGCTATTCATTCATGCATTCATATAGTCAATAAACATTTACTGACAGACTGCTCTGTGCCAGACACTGTCATAAGCCTTAGCAGTAGAGAATCAATCAGACAAAATTTCTGCCTATCCTCAAAAAAACTCACCGAATAAATGAGACTGACAATAACTAACAAAGTAAAAACATAAATATGGTAATTTCAGATGGTGGAAAGCACTATGAATAAAATGAAATAAAGGGATGTGACTGAGCGTGATGGGAGGAAACAGGTAAAATTTCAGATAGGATTATCAGGAGAGGCTGTTCTAACAAGGTAAGACCTGAAGTCTGAGAAGAAGCTGGACAGGCAAAGACATCAGGAAGACCATTCCAAGCCGCAAGAAAACCAAGTACAGAAGTTATAAGGTGGACGGAGACTGATGTATTCCAGTGAGAAAAGGAGGTCAAGATGGCTAGGGGAAGTGTGCACAGACGATGGTCATTAGAGATGAGACCAGGGACATAGGTAAGGGCCTTTAAAGCATGCAGGGCCTCTTAAAGCCACCGTCAGAAATTTGGATTTTCTTCTAAGTGCAATGGAAAGGAGCATTTTTAGCAGAGGAGTGATATACTATAAACCTGTAGTGAGCAAAGGGATGTGAAAGCAACACAAGATCCCGTAAGTACTCAATACTGCTCTCTTTCTTTTTGGAAAACTATTCTCTGGGAGAATATGTATAACTGAATTATCCTGCCCACGGCTGATAACTGAGAAAGAAGGAAGAAAGTCATCAAAGAGTAGCTGGGGAACAAAGTCAGGAAAGGCCCCTCTGCCTGGAAAGCAATGTCTCAGTTACCTCTAAGTGCACAAGGGTTAAAGGTGAGGAGTCAGAGACTCGAGTTTGAATCTCAGCCCTGATATTTAGCTAGCTGTGGGACTTTCAGAAAGTTATTTAGCCTCTCTGAGCCTTAGATTCCTCTTCTGGTAATTTAAGAATAGCGCCTCTTAGGGTTGTCTGATGGCAAGAGACTGATGACAGGATGACATTGTATCATGTATGTTTTAATATAAAGCACTCAGTAACAGTCTGCTGCTTAGCAAACCCACAAAAAGTGGTAAAACTTATTACTACTCTGCAAATGATATGCAAGCTGGAGCTATAGGCATCAAAGAAAAGGAGTTCAGTGGGTGGTCTGATGGTAGGGCTTAGGACAGGAAGAGGCCTGAGGCTTTTCTGCTGGCTCTTGAGAGCAGGCTGTATAATGCAGAAACTAGGCCCAGATACCAGCCTGGAACTACAGATAAAAATAAAACAAACTTTGCCAAAAGGAAGAACTTAAAAACAGATTTTTAAGAAAATCAATTTCCAAAAGTCAAGCCCCAGAGACCTGGAGAAGTTGAGAAGGAGATGAGGGGTCAAAAAGGATCCCTGAGGCCAGATGTTCAGATACTTCCTCAACCAAGAGAGAAAATAAGGGGTTACTCATGGAGGAGAAGGGTTGGAGTGGTCCCAAGGGTCTAAGCAGTAGAGCCCAGGTCCAGAGGAGAGATCTGAAAGCCTGAACTCTAAGAAAGAGAGAAGATTCTGGAAGGGACTGAGAAGCCCATCAGACTCTGCAGCAGAGCCAGATCAAACATCTAACAGTGCATGGGAGCAGGACCAGGTGTCCTACAAGCGTCCAGCTGTGGTTATCCCCCAGTCACGTAAGGAAATCTGTTCTCTATTAAGTGCATCTGTTTCTGCACTTCTGGGTTCTGCTGTTTTTTTCCCTTCATTTTTCAGAAAAGCCTGGTTTGGGGTGTTTTAAAAAGTCTATTCTAGTCTTTTTTTCCCCCTATTCAGTGCATCCGTAAATATTTTAATATGTATCTCAGAAAGGTAAAGACATAAAAACACACACACATACATAATACAACTGAGAAAATTAACAGAGGAAAGAAATCTAAGGGCCTTTCAAGAGCAGTACATGGGCAGTGACCTGTCCAGCTTAGAATCTGGAAGGAGTGAGTAAAATGCTGCCAAGAATATAAACTGTTACAGACTTTATGGAAGGCAATTTGGCAACAAATAAAAAAATTTTAGTGCACACAGCCTTTGACCTAGCAACAACAATTCCAGGAATCTCACCCACTCAGACAAGCATGCAAAGATGTATATGGACAGGGATTCACTTCCATACTCCTTGTAATATGGATAAAATGGAAAATAATGTAAATGCCTGTCAATGGCACTTGGTTAAATTATGCTACATCCACACAATGGAATATTATACAGCTAATAAAATAATGAAGCAGATTTTTATATATATTGGCATGAAAAGATACACTGTTATGTTAAAAAAAAAAGTTGGAAATTGTAGAACATATATAGAGT